GTCTGATGAAACAGCAGTAGAGAAAGAAACTCACCCAACTTGGCATTTTCAAAGTATTCTTTTATAGGAATTGGCATCCTTTGTTTCAGTGCTTTGGGGTTTTTCTATACCCACCTTCTGTTTTTGCAGTTGTTCTTCTTTTGTCTTCAGCTTATCTTATCTTTGGAGTGTTTTTGTTGCCCATCTGGCAGAATTTCTTCTTCTGTTATCTCCTTTGCGCCTTCAAGCTTCAAAGGAATTCTTCTGCCGTTTGTTAGTTAGTTAGTGGTTGGTAACTTACATTTGGCGCCTTGTTGCTTACATAAACAGTTGAATCTTCTTCTACTGTCTCTATGCCATTCTCTCACCATTCACCCTTTTACATACACTGATACATAAAGGCTATGCAAAGTTCATTCACTTATGTCAAGTAGAAGGATACAAAATGGAGTTTTCAAGTTGTTTACAGGACAAGAATAACATGGTTACATTTCAGTATTATTACACTCTATGTTAATATCAGCTACATTAGTTCAGTTCATGCTACACATGGGCACCATGAGTCACCTGGATCCTGGCTGCTTAACTAAGGAGAAGGGTTAGCTATCCAGAGCAAGCATCTCCCCAGTGCTTTGGGTGGTCTTGGTCACCCTTGCAATGCACCCACCTCTCTCTGCAGCTTTCCCCCACTGCTCCAGGATGGCCTGCCTCTGCTTTTTGGGGATGGAGGCTTTGGAGCAAGTGGGAGACTTCCCTTTGGGCATGCACGCTCTGGTGCCAGACTTAGGAGGAGGAAGGGTAAGGGGGTGCTGGCTCCTGAGATGCAGCAGCATTGCTGTGCTGGTGATCTGCCTTCGGCAGTGCTGGCAGATAACAAGCCTAGGATCATCTGCCACCTCAGAATGATCCCACACTACATTAGTCCCTTGCTTCTGGGTTGAGGGTGGGGCTCCAGCCTTATCCCTTCCTCAGCAGGCTGAGGCACAACAGGAGGAGGTGCTGACTCTTGTTGTTTTATTCTGTGATGTGAATCTGAATGTGTAACTTCTGTCTTGTGTTTGGTTTACTCTTCGGTGTTGTAGTGTAGTGTACCTAAAAATCTGTTCTCTTCTTCTTCTTCTTCTATGACTGTCTGACTTCTGTGTTGTGTTAATCTGGCTGCTTCTTCTGTGTTGTTTTTAGTCTGTATGCAACTAACTATAACTAATAATATTAATAACTATATATAATCTCTTATTCTTCTGCAGTGAAAGTCTGACTTCTTCTATGATGTATGTATGTAATGTGTGCTTCTCTGTACAGTGATGGATCACACTGCTGGGGAAAACACAGCTTTCTTTTTAAAATGTTTTGGGGAAAAAAACCCAAGAACAAATATAAATCAAAAGAAATGAAGTGGATAGGGATAATTAAAGCAGAGGGATTCTAGTTAGTAAGCTAAGCTAAGCTATATCCTATCCAATCCTTTCCAAGAACAAAAAGTAGCCGGTGATTGACTAGGAAGCCAAGCCAGTCCAGTACCTTTCAGGCGCTGTTGCTCACTCAGTTAGAAACAGCTTACAAAAGGCACAGAATGCCTGCAGACAAAGGCTTATATGCTGTTTCTATGTCCCTCCCCCAGACACTGTAATTGGAAGGGGACTCAGGGAGAGATCAGAATCACTGGCCAGCTAGAAATGTCAGTCCTTCCCCCCCGTTCCCTCTCCCTCTTCTCAGTTTCTCTTTCCCTAAAAGACCACCTCCGAATCTCCAAATTTCCCAATCATTTCTGAATCTTTTCAGAATCAATTCAGAGGCTCTGAAGCTTCTCCAAATCAGGCTGAATCTTCTCGGAATCAAATTGCGGACCGAAGCTTCATACAGCCCTAATATTTATCTTTGACATGAAGGGTCTGGTTTAAAAAAGAAACACTTGTGCCTTTAAGGCTACACAAGCAGCAACAGCAGGAATGCTGCATGAGCACTATTGTGAAATGTCAAGGGGCAGCAGCTCAGGGGACAGCGGTGGTGTGCTTTGCCTCTCAGCCATGCATCTGACTCTCGTCACTCATGTGGCCATTCCATTAAAAACAAATAGCTGAGCTTGATGCAGCTATAGGAAACATCTTGCTTTTTCACCCATGCAGGCATACAAGTGGGCATCACTTTAGGCTTGGACTGTGTGTCGTCATACAAGGAAAAAATTGAGAGAGGGAAAGAAAATGGTCTTGACAGCTGTCCTGTGAATTTTTTCCTTTCAGATGATCTCTTCTGGAGCTGTTTTGCAGTTTGGGCCGTGGTTCTTGTCATGTTTAACACCACTGGTTTCCCTGGAGTAGTCAAAGCACTCATATCTGACCTAAATTATTAAAACCAAGTTCTCTCAGCCATCGAATTGTATATGATTACAAGTTCAGTTCCCATGGACTTCACAGGGTCTTTGTAACTGAGGGAAGAACCAGGTCCTCAACATGTAAGAAACTTTCAAAAAAATTAATAAAGATCTGTAAAATATAGAAGTAACAAGTTTGCTCCCAGAAAGCACAAGACAAGTGCAAAAGATCTATCCACCATTAAGTGATTCAGTGCTTTGCTGCCTTTAGAGAATTCATATCAACTAACTGTGTGTGTAGAGAAGCAGCACCTGAATTGCCATATGGGTGTACATGGCAATAAAACTAAGGGGAGTGCCATTAAAAGGGGCGTGAGTCTTTCAGATGAGTCCCACAGCACCTCATGGACAGAATTAATCAATTATTTCGCAAAGTGTAAGTTACCTACAGCCATTCTCGTAACATATGTCACTATGATTTAGTTTCTTATTATAAGATGCTTGTAACAATAACTTGTTAACGGAACACATATTCAAATATGGCCTATGTAACCATAAAGTATACAGTAGGAAGAATAAAGACCCATCAAATAAATTGCACACATTCTCTTTGCGTAGAAGTGTTCTGGTGTACTGGTCATAAAGAAACTCAGGAGTTTCTATAATGTTTGTGTATTTAATATCATGATGTAATCCAGATATACCATCTCTCTCACCCTCTCTCTCTCTCTCTGTCTCCCCCCACCCTCCCTCTTCCCCCGCCTTTGCCTTCACCTTCTCTCATGCACTGACACACAACCAAATTCAGCTTGCTACAGCTCTAGTGAAGTCTGTCTTTTTATATCAGGAATGATTTTGGCCTACCATGCCTCCTTCCTCTGCTCCTTTTGTTTTTCCTATTAAGTACATTTCACTGATATGCATCAGGTCATGATATGCATCAGGTAGTTAATAGGGGAGGATCTCTGCTACCACTAGTATCAATCACTGTTGAGCGTGCCTCTTGTGAAGTAGCTATTTCCTGATGCTTGGTTCAATCCAGCTGAGCTGAGTATAGGCCTGCTAAAAATGCTGTACCTTCTCTTCAACTAGTGGGTGCTCCCTCAGCATCATTGGTGACTTTGTGGTGCATATACTACAAGCCCCCTGCCATCTCTTATGGTATTAGTGGATCCCCATGTTGGAACATTGTGTTAGTACTACTAGTTAAAATAATTAATAAATGCCAGATTACTGTGCTTACATTTACAGACAACTGTCAACTATAACTTTAAATGAAGTAATTCTCCTCTCACATTAATAAATCCTGCTTAGTAAATGTTTAAAAGACAGAGGTCATCAATCGTAGTGCTCATCTCAAAGTAGATGTTGAAGGTTTGAATTTGGATCTGGGTCTGTGATAAAAGTTCAAAGTCTTTACTGAACAAATACTTATTGAAATTGTTCACAGCCCCAAACCACAGCCAAATGCTTCCTTTTTTGCTTGTGAATAGCAGCATTCAACACTAGAGTATTTTGCCAGGTTTCATATTTCATCACAAAAGTTTTACACAGCTCTGTTGATAATAACAAAATGATTTCTGTGCTGAGCTGTCTCTTCATCCCAAAAGAATCCATCTAGGCTGACAGCTAGCACAGACTCCTGTGAATCTTGAGCGATTGACTAGTGATGATGCCTGTTGGCTTTTTTCGCCTTAGGAAAGTCCAACGCCAAAGTTGCCCCCATTTTTATCTATCCCTTTAATTTATTCTAAAACCAGTAAAAGTGCAGTATTCTCTGGAAACAGCCCAAAGTACTATGAGCTAGGTTTGCAATGAAGGCTCCACCTGGCCTCCATATGACATAGACATTTTTCAGACACCTTAACCTGCTCATATAGGTTACTGAATTTCCCCTAGCAAAACTTAATTGCCCAAATGGGATTTGTGTGTCCACATTATCCCATCATTTACATACACAGGGGTGTGGAGCTGAGGAACTGCCCATATAAGTTGTCCTTGCACAAATGAAGATATGACATATTGAAAATTTGGTCTGTAAGCTTCAAACTGTGTTACTGCAGTGTTAAAAAGTCATAAGTGCTATATTTTTATTAATTAGTTCATGGGGAGCTGAAGACCATCCATGTCATTTTGGAGCCAAACAAAGCTACTCCTGCAGCATTTTAAGGAGGTTGCTGTGCACTGATGAAGTTGGGTTCCAGTTTCTCATATGTAAACGTAATTTATGTAGTAATTGTATCTGTTGTCTGTTGCACTTGGATTCATTATGGTAAGAAAAGTCTTTCTCCAAGGGCATCCTGGGTAAAGGCTTCAATATGATCTCCATTACTGCTTTCTTTCATTCTAGCACAGCAGAAATACTCTTAAACACAATCCCTGATTTCCCAGATGAAGACTTTCTTCCAACTAACAAGAAAAATTGCCAATCTTACTACTCTATATAAAGTGCTTTTTCATTTGAATCATCCTTAGTGCCTAGGTAAGGAAGCAACAGAACACTGATGAAGGATGTATTGTATAACCCCATCTACCACACACAGCCATTTGGTATGCATGAGTTTAGAAAGTTCACCAAAACAGCTGTTTTGCACTAAGATGCAGAGCATATCCAGTATAATGAAAGGTGAGGTGAATTATGATATTGACTTACAGTAGTTCTCCCTGCACTGATCCCCTGTTCTTTTTTTTTTTTTCCTGTCTTTTTTAGAGTTCCAGAACAGCTCGGTCTGAGGAAGACCGAGACATGCTGTGGGATGCCTGGGGTTCATGGAGTGAATGCTCACGCACTTGTGGAGGAGGAGCTTCCTACTCACTTAGACGCTGCCTGAGCAGCAAGTAAGTTGATGAATGCTTGAATCCTCCCCTAGTGGTCCGCAATGTGCCAGCATATATCACAGCAAGAACTGCAATTGGTATGTTGGTCTGTGCTGAAATATCAGCCTCAGATAAGAAAGACATTTTATTATTATTATTTTTTAGACAACCAGCCAGGAGGCTTGCTAGTCCAAAACACTTTTCAAGGTGTACTTATAGATAACCCATAGGGTGCATCCACACATGCAGGCATGTATGCTTGTAGCAGCTCAAATAGAAGCAGTGCAAATTTGAGCTGGGGCTTTTTGCCTCAGTGCATGTGCCCAGACACGCACTTTGGTGTGGGGCAAACTGTTCCACTTGGGGCAAAATAACCCTGCCTGGCTCCTCCCAGATCTGCAACCGGGGGGAGCTCAAGCCTGGGTCAGCACCTGTGCTGTCCCCAACAGTATTAAAAGCTGCCCTGTCCTGGCCCCATCAGTACAAAAAGCTGCTCTGGCAAGTAGCTCGGGACTACTTGCTTTCAGGAGCTTCTGGGGCCCAGCCAACTGGTACCTGGGGAGATTACCCCTGCCATGAGCAGGAATTCTGGTGTTCCCAATGTGAAAACTGAAAAATCCCTGATAAAAAAATTCCAAAGTCACTCTGTAAAATACCCCAAAATCCATGTTCCTCCACAGTTAAAACAAAAAACTACTATATAGAGAGAGAGCGTGAGAGACAAAGAGACAGTGATCAGTTGGGCAATGTTTTATTGATATAGCTACAGTGTTAAAGCAGTTTGGAAGCCTGCCAGTGACTCTATCATCATAATAAAATGAATTCTGAATACCTATATGTCTTGCTGCCCCCCACAGGGGCCACAGCCTCCCCACAGAGGCTACAGCCCCCAACAGGGGTTACAGCCCCCCCCCCACAGGGGCCACATCCCCCAACAGGGGTTACAGCCAACCACCAGGGGTTACAGCACCCCCGCAGGTTTTACAGCCCCGCACAGGAGTCAAATGGCCCCTGCAGGAGCTACAGCCCTCACCTCCGCAGGTCCCACGTGCCCCACCCCAGCCCCCCCGATGGCTGCCTTGCCTGGTGCATCTCCGCCCGCTCTTGCAGCCCCCCTGATGGGTACCCCACCCAGGTCTCCACTGCTCCCCAGACCTGGCCCCACCTGGCCCCATGCCCTACTTGCTCCCCCAGCCCCCTGATGGCTGCCCACCCTACCCCAGCCTCTGGCACTTAAAAAAAAAGCCACTCACCACAGGAGCAGGGGTTGTGGGGGCTTTGGGGCCTCCTGGCAGAGCCTCCCCCAGGCAGCATTAGGTAGCAGGGGCAGCAGGACCCAGGCTGCGGCTGCGGCTGCGGCTGCTGGGGTTGTCACCATGCTCCGCACTGTGTGGGGGGGTTCCAGTGACCCCAACAGCACCTGGAACTGCCGGTGAGTGCTGGGTTTGTTTGTTTGTTTGTTTTTAAATTGTGGTGATGCTGGGGTGGAAGGGCAGCAATCGGGGGGTGCTGGCAGGGAATAGGGCTGGGCAAGGCAGGGATCAGGGGGCTTGTGGGGGATGGGGCTGGGTGGGGTAGCCTTCAGAGAGGCTCAGGGGGGCAGGCAGGGGGTGGGGCTGGGCAGAGCAGGAATCGGGGGGGCT